TTTCTGCTTACCTCCAGTCGCTATCCTGCACACCTATGTTTCTTTTTGACTGGTAAGTACTCGGTTTCTTTTCCTTTACAGGAGCCTCTTGCTCATAGGTTATGAATTCTGCTCTGTGGCAAGTGGTGCCTGCCCCGGTATACTTAGTCTCAAATCTGCACTGTCCATCCTGTGATCAAGCTAGAAGACTATAATGTTGAGGTTCTTTGTACTGCAAACCTGTTGTACAATTCCAGATGCCACCAGTGTTGGTTGATTAACTTTGTCCAGTTGTCATCTATGCATTCATACATGGCAAATCATCACATGTCACAAGTTCATGTTATGCACATCTTAGAGATAGGGTTTTGTGTGGGACCAAACGTAGTTATATCTTGTGGTCTTTTGCTTCATAAATATGTTTGTTTGTTCTGGGTTGTACACTCATAGACTTACTCTGGTGCTCTGTGGCATTGAAGCTCTTCCTACTGTGGACCTGTTGTATAATTTCAGACACCACCAGGTGTTGGTTGATCGACTCCATCCATGTGGCAGCTTTGCTTTTCAAAATAAGGTATCAGGGTCACCCATTGTACTGTCTCCAGTGCTGCAGCCCTCTGGACTCTCCAACTCATCCCCACCCCCCTGCTGCTTCTTATGCAGTATGGAAGTTTTTGCTACTTACCAGTTCCTAGCTGCTTGGGTGGTGGACCAAGGAGGTCTGTCCTCCTTAATATCTGATGTACATTTCCAGATGCTGTCAGGTGTTGGTTGTAGCACTCTGCAATTTCTATACATATCTATTACAGTTTCTCCATCTGACTGAGACATTTCTCCTTCCTACCATCCTTCATATTTCGGTTCTTGGTGGATCAGGTGTGGGTCGGAGATGGACTAGTCCTCATATGTGTTTGGCTGGTAACCTCCTCCTACTGCGAACTTGATGATAAATTCTCAATGATACTAGATTTTGAACCAGAGATGAAAGCCTACTGAGCTCTCCTTATTTTCTTCCATCAGCTAGATGTTGGTTTCCAGTGAATCAGGTGTTGGATGTGTTGGAAATGAGTTCTTGGTACAAAAGCTCATCTTCCCTTCAAGTATCTGTTTTTGAGGTGAAAGGTAGGGGACTCTCTTCTTACCACAGACCTGATGTACAATTCCAGATGCTGCCAGGTATTGGTTGAAGTCGAACTCCCAGTTATGGTTTGTTGCTCCCTAGCCACTTGATACCTGGGAGTCCCTTTTCTAGTGAAAATTTTTTGGGGTCCCCTTTATGTTTTGGCAACACATTCCTGCAAGGTGAAGAGTATACCTGGGTCAGAAGTGGTGCAATCTCCCATTGGTGTGTTGTTTTTAATTCCTTACAACACCTCATGGTCTTTCTTTGGATGCTTTCTAAAGGAGGATCATTTTCTCCCCACTCCTCCACCAGTTCATTGTGGGATTCTAGCTTTTTGTGAGAGAAGGTAGGATATCGTATTGCAAAATAACATTTTCCTAAACTGAAAATATATTTCCAATAGATACTTACTTCTGCTCATGTTTCCCACCCTTCCTTCCTGCTTTCAGTTTATTGGTTGACTTGGTCATGACCAATCACAAAGCGATTAATGGATGCATTATTAGAGAGAGCACTAGTTACAGTAGGGTTATTGTCACACTCCTATTGGTGGAGGTTGCTGCATGATTATTTGCATGTAAATATATAGAAAGAAGTTGGAGTTACAAGACTAGTGATGAGTGAAACATTTGTGCCAATAGAGAGCAGTACTAATTGAGAAAGCCTTTTGTGAGAGGTTGTAATTGTCTATTGGAAATATTTTCAGTTTAGGAAAATGTTAACATTTCCTTTAATGGTAAATTTGTATATAAGGACTCAATGTTTAGACTACCAGTATAGAGAGGTTTGTCAAAAATTAGTTTAAACACATCTTTGGAAAACTCATAACTGTTTGTTACTGTAAATTCATTTGTTACATGGGATTTGAGGAAATCCACTAGTTTGTAAGTGAAGGTACCTATAAATTACACAGTTGGTCTAATAGGACAATTTCATTTGTATTTTTGGTAACCTGTAAAATATTTTATAATGAGATTTTTATTTCGTTATAGATATCTTCTGATATTAACCCGTCTTTTTTTAATTTTTAACAACTAATTCTTCAAACATCTTTCTGTTGCTATAGGATCAGATTCTAATTTCTTAAATTTGGTATTATTATTTAAGATAGTTAAAGCTTTATGCACATAATCTTTTTTATTAAAAATTACTACACCACTACCTTTGTTTGGTTTATGAATTACTAAATTATTTAGTGAACTAAGATGTTTTATAACCAAACATTTTTCTTTAGATAAATTTGTTTGAACTTTCTTGGGATCAAAACTATAATATCCTGAAAGCACTGAACCTAAAATTTCAGTGACTACAGTGAAACATTTTCTTCACTTATTGGTATACATTTTAATTTCTGTAATAACTGTTAAAAATTTTCAAAATATTCCACATAATCCAATTTTTTAGAAGTAACCGAAAACATTAAGCTTTGTGATATTACCATTCTTCCACAAGTTAACTGATAATCTGGAAAATTATAAATAATCTGTGTAGGGTCTTCTTAAAAAGTAGGCATACTAAATCTCACATTTTAACATATACAATTATTTTATTTGTTTTAATTTTATTTTATTCAAAATCTTATTTTTATGACATTCAGTCACATTATACAAATGTATAAAATCAAAATTTGAGACCACTTCTTTCAAATTTTCTACAGCATTTGCCCATTTCTTTTAGTGTGTACATCTTAGAAACTTGTTTTGTGAAGACTTATAAGTTGCAGTTACCTCTCCCTATTAGCATGGACTCTCGTCCTAAACCTAGCCCTGTAGACTTCAGACTGATTTTGAGTTCCATACCTGAGCTCTATAGCAGCTACCAGTGCTCTATAGTTGTGCCTGTTGTCTGCTGCAAATGTCCAAGTATTTCCAGTGGTTGTCCCATCAGGCTTGTTGACAGGTACACTGCCTTCTGCTCCTCAGTTTTCCATTTGTACTTTTTGCCAATGTTGTTGACTTACCTGTAGTTGCTGCTGATTTTCCTGCAACTGTTGGAGACTTTCTTCCTGTTTCCTTTCTTGTTCTAGTTGCCACTGCTGTAATCTCTCTTCTTGTTTATTTTCTTTCTCCTCAATCAACTGATGTAATCTCTCTTCTTGTTTCTTATCTCATTCTTGTATCTTTTCTTTTTCCTCCAACACCTGCTGTAATCTCTCTTGTTTATTTTGCTGTTTGAGCTGCCACTGTTACAAGTTTTCTTGCCACTGCTGTTGTCTCTCTTCTTGTTTCTTTTCTTTTTCCTCCAACAACTGCTGTAATCTCTCCTTTTGTTTCTTTTCTCGTTCTTCTTGTTTCTTTTCTCATTCTTCTTGTTTCTTTTCTTTTTCCTCCAACAAATGCT